TTTATTATTCATAGCTTATAAAATAATCTTTTTTGAAGAACATTTTTTTTGTTCGTACCGTTCATCCAATTTTTCTCAGGCTGGAAATGAAACGCCGTGCGTTGCCACGACAACATAGTATTGTTCCACGCGAACGCTTCAACTTTCCGATCATCTGATAATCTCGAAACTCTGTCGTTGCTCTTCTCCGACACGCCGGCCAAACGAGCACGTGACTCTGTCGACGTTTCATCCTTGGCGCCATGTTGAGCGGTGGATCCATCGTGTGTGACGATGAGAGCAACGTACAAAGCAATCAAGAGCAATCCGGAATAGACGGCGAGATGGACTTTGATGGGTCTTCTCTGACGGGTCTCCGGGATCTGGTCGGATCTTGACTCGGATAATGGATCTTGTCGGGACGTGACGGGTAAGAGAGCTTCGGTGCTCGCCATTTTCTTGTTTGTTTTGGTTTACTTAGATTTGATGGTTGTAATTAGAAACTGGCTAGTCCAATATTTATATATAGCAAAACCAACCAAAACAAATCTCAAAATAATGATATTAAAAAATAATATATGAGAAGTTGGGAATTAGAGAGTATAGAGAGATCTGGATTGGGTTGGCAAATTAGAGCTGTGAATTTTTTTTTTGTATTGTTATTTATTACCAGTAAGGTTCACGTTTACAGACGTCAAGTCAATACTTTTTTTTTTTTTTTTTTATGATGATGATGATAATTTATTAAATTAGTGGATTTTGGGTCAATACATTTAGAACAATTTGTGTAACTACCTTTCCTTGTTGCTTCCATTAGCATAGATGTGGATTTTCATAGAACACTATTTTTACATTTCCCCCTTACTAGTAATTTCCTAAAACGGTTGAGAAAATAAAGAAAGAAAAAAACATCTTAAAATGTTGTCTTTGATCTCTCTTTTTTTTTTTAATCCCATCCATTCCACATATTCTATTATTTGTTTTTTGTGGAAATGTCCACTAATTATATTGGTTTAACATTCCGCATACACACAATGTGTATATATATATAAATATTATATATCTTTTATTTCTCTAAATAATATTATTCCACTCCATTTTCTATTAATATATTAAGATTAAATTATAATTATATCTAGACTTTAAGATAGAAACATAAAAAACCATATATTTATAACTAAAATTACCCTATCTTGTGTACTCGCAATAAGAATAAATTTGAGAAAAATATTAAAATTTAACTGAAAATTTATTTTTATTTAACTTTTGTAAATGAACGGTGAGATTAATACAACTATTGTAGCCCACTCTTTTAACAAAATTGTCGGAGCTCTAGCCTTTAATATTTTCCAATATCTAAAATCAAACTTTAAAAATTTCAATTTAAAGAATAATTTTGGTATCCAAAAAAGATTTAACTCGGACCACAAATAAACCAAGCCCTTGTACTATCCATTATGCCGTCGTTTTTTTTGGTCAGCTTTGCCTTCTCATTATAGGATCCTGTCATAGTTCATACATCAAATCCCAAATAGTTTCCTCTAGTAGACTAGAACTCTACATCATTTTCTAAAACAATATCGTATGAGAAACATCTTATTATCTGAATCGGAGGCTGTTTTAAATAAATTTTTTGCGTGAAGGTACGCTAGTGGAGGAGGGGAAAATTTAATTACAGTTGAATAAGTAAGTACAGTAGTTGTTACGAACTATGGCACCATATTTTAATTAATATTGATTGCCCACATTTTAAAACCACCCACGTTTTAATCAGTATCTATAAATGGGCCAACCCAATTTATTTGTAGCTATTTTCCAACCTTCCCAAAATGAGAGGTAGACTTCCCTTTCTCAATTAACATAAAATTATTAAAATAAAATTCTGGTTGAACGTAACTTTTCACCTCCAATTTATTAGGCATCATAACTATTCTCACTGAAAAGTTCTGTTTGGTAATCATCTTTACCTGAAAAATAAATATTCTCACTTACGTTGACAACTGGCCGATCAAATATAACTTTTTAAGTTAAATATTAGGATTATAATAATTTTTTCTCTATGTAAGCTTAATTTTGTTTGATGGTTTGATCATCATTTTAAAAACTTTTATAAGACTTGATCATATCACAAATTTTCTGTTTAACAAGAAGATTTACATATATAGCGAGAATCAATTCCAGTTGACTATCTTGGATCAAACATTTAATCATGAAATTATAGGTCTTAATTTAGATAAAATCAGTGATGCAAATAAATATTTACCCACTTGAAATAAGATATAAACCAATGGCGCAAAAAAAAACTTTCATAATAAGTGATATATGAAATATATATATAGATGAAACACGTCTGAAAATAGTTTTATAACACTTGTGTGTTTGGCCAGGCCACATGATTTCCTTTTAAATAGCATATAATCTTATCACGATCGCGTCAGACATGTATCCAACAATTGAACTTCGATTTGTGTTTGTTTTTAATAATAAATTGATTCACCACGTGAAAAGATCTTCCATCGACATTTTGTAAGATGTTTAACAACTAATAATAAGCCACCGAAAAGTTGTAGAATCTTATTCAACTAAGCAGGAAATTAAGCAAATTAAGTTTATTGTTCGTATTTGTAATTCGAATTCAAGGTCCATTTCACTTTTTTTTTTAATACCAAATTTCACTTAAAAAAATTCATTATAAAAAAATAGCTGATTTCTTTCACTTGTAACTTTTGTGGCACGGCAGCATGCATGTTTTCAATTCACTCTTCATATATTTTTGTTAATGATTTTTTAGTTTTCTTTAGTTTTTGCTTTGCTTCATTTTTTTTTATGTACTTTTAAATTGAATTAAAATAGAAGACAAGATCTCAAATTTTTGCATAAAAAAAAAAAGACAAGATCTCAAATAATTAAAAACGACAAAACATATAAATTGTTGGATGTGTGAAAACTGGATCCCACATGTAGAAGACCCATTCGGTCTCACAGAATGAGACGTGCTCTTCTGAAAATTATCCAATAAAAATAAAATAATTCAACACATATTGTATATAGGTGAGTTCCGTTTTGGTTTCACCAATCATCTAGCTAGGTTGTGCCGTGCAAAAAAGTGAGAATGTTTCAAAAAAAAGTCTTATATATACACACATATAATTATATATGCAGTATCAGAATTATATTTCTAATGATTATACATATTTTCTCAGGACTTGAGCTTGTATCATATTATTTGAGACATAAATTCGTGTAAAAGTTTTCTCATCCAATATTTTTCCAAAAATACAGAAGATCTAGTTTTTACGGATTGTATCATATTATGGCGTTTTAATCATTGGGGTTGCACCACAACACTTACAAGAAAATAAGATTAATCACCCAAATCCAATATCTATTTGAGATTTAACAGATACCAATATCATATTAATTTCAAAATTCATACGTGGCCGTATTATTTGACATTAAATTTCAATAAATCTTGGTAGAATAGTGACCTAAGATTAGACATGGATCTGACTCAGACGAACACGTTTATATTCATCCTTTCTTGTCTTCAAGTTATTTGTCATTTGGTTCACCTCGAAGAACAACTTCCATTTTTAATTTTAAATATTGTTTTTTTTTTTTGAGATTTTATTGAAAAATACTAAAATTAGTATAGTCGAAGACGGTTGCGAATTCGGTCTTGAATGAGTCTCAAGAAAACATAACCAAAAAGAATGAGACATATCTATACTAGTATTTTTGCAGTCACTTTTGAGCCGGGTGGGTAAAATTGTTTTTGGATACTTTGGATACCCGACCCGTTTACAAATTTTGGTCATAAAATGTTTGTTGGGTCGGGTTATATTTAACCCAACTCATACACCGGATATTCCATATTTAATAATTTAGATATTTAAAAGATTTAGAATTATGATTCTAGTATCATCTTTGTTTGATTTGTTTTTAACTATTTTGAATCATCATATAATACATACAATAAAAAAAAAAATCAACTTTTTTTCTGCACATACAGTGATTCGAAATTTTAAAAACGGACATATATTATCCAATTGACGAAAATGTGTGTTCAACGTTCTACATCGATTAAAATATTTAGACAATGATTCAGAATCATATCATAAAAAAGATCAACATTCATAAAATAAATGAGTTTTTTGGCGGGACGGGTTTGGCGGGATGGGTTTTTGAATCAACAATAATAAAAAGATTAAACTATCATTAATCCGCCGCTTCAATACGGTTAAATCCTTAATTGTTTTTTTTAATACCACCAATATTAGACATATTAAATTAGTCTCATTTAGAAAAGATTGTATAAAACCAAAAATTGTCCCGTGGTATAATGTTACTTAATAAAAATTTTAAACTATAAAATATAAATATCTTAGAATATGATACAATTTACAAACTTTTATATATAATAAATAATGGTTAAATTTAAAAAATTACTACTTTTAAAACACAAATCACGGGACGGGTTAAGAAGTTACAGGACGGGTTATATTTTAGAACGAAGTTATAGGGTAGACGAGTTTGAATCAATATTTATAAAATTTTAAAATATCATTAACATGCCGCTTTATTATACATTAAATCTTCAGTAAACTAAATTATAAATTTCTTAGAGAATGATATGATTTGTAAACTTTTATATATAGTAAATAATCATTAAATTTTAAAATAAAAATAAATCACGGGATGGGTTAAGAAATTATGGAACGGGTTATATTTCGGAACGGATTTATATGGCGGACGAATTTGAATCAATATTTATAAATATCATTAACATGCCGCTTTAATACGGGTTAAATCCTCAGTTTAGTAACAATTGTCTCGTGGACTCGTGGTATAATGTTACTTAATAACAATTGTAAACTATATTATAAATAAATATTTTATAAGGAGATACAATTTACAAAATATTTTTATACTAACTTTAAAAATAAATCATCCCGCGGTGTACCGCGGGTTAAAATCTAGTTTTTAGGTAAGGATATTACATCAATCTTCAGTATTTATTATTTGACAGTTTAAATTTATACATCAAATCAACAATCAAAATACATTACTAAGGAACATGACAGCGAAAGGGTACTCTTATATATTAAGCATCAAAGAAAACACAAAACATCATATATATACCTCTAGAATTTCAAACCAGAACCTTGAAGTTTCTCTTGGATGATCATGTCTATCTTGTTCTCCATTTCAGGAGTAAGATAGTTCTTCCAATCACCGACTTCCCCTTTACGGAAATAACTCTTGTGATCCACGTTGTTTGTTTTTTGGGTTTTGTTAATCTCCAAACTGCTTAGGTTACGCAGAGAACAAAGGTCCAAGATCTCGTCCACCGATCCGCTCTCTTCTTCTTCTTTAGTAAAAGGACAATCCAAGAAGTCGGCAAGTCTCTTGATCTGATCACGAGGCTTTGATTTCATCTCCTCGTACCTCATGAATAGAACATGGTTATGGTTTTCCAAGCTTCCTTTCCAATAGCTCAAGTGATGTTCCCAAAAAGGTCCATAATAGACGGTTCCGCTGCAAAACGATTTAAACAAAGACTCGAGAAGATTTCTATCTAGTTCTATCTTATGAATAGCGCACCCGAGATCAACATGTCCTTCACGTCCCTACAAACGTACACAATCTTGCAAGGAGATTCCTTGAGGGTTTCGTGCATCGCGGTTAGTGGCATATGAGTAAGGAACAACCTCGGAAATGATGAGAACTTGGCCAAGTCAGGACTTGAGCTTTCGTTATACATATCGATCTCAAAGAATGGAACAATTCCATGAGGATTATCAGTTAGGAGAAGATGATGATCATCAGAAGAACGGTTCTTCAATCTTTCCAGGAGGGCAACCGTGAGGGCTTTGAGCCAAGTAGTGCCTGATTTGGGGAAAGAAGCGAGGATTATATCCGTGTCTTGCGGTTGAAAACCTCTTTGGAAATTAAGAACGCCTTGGAGAGTGTTGTAGTAATACTAACATCCTTGATACTTGCAAAGCTTCTTCCCACAAATTTATTATGATATGAATATAAAGATCTAAAATACCCCAAAATACGATGTAAGTCATGTAACTGAGTTCGGATTGGTTCGAAATGTTTCATGTAGCTTGCAACATGTATATTTTTTGTTCATACATATTACTATTATACATTTGTGACATACTTTGACAAACTCTAATTCTTGATAGATAATTGAGAAGAAAAATAAAACCAATTCTTCTGATCCTAATAGTTCTCAAAAACAGAAGAAAACAAGATTAAGCAAATGGAGAAATGTTGTCTTTAACATTACAAACAAGAAATGATGAAAGAATGCTACTATTTTTTCTTCAACTTTTTCATTATTTGCATTCGAAATAACTAACAAGTTAAACAAGTAACAACAATGAAACCTTCAAAAAAAGAGAGACCGAATTCAGACAAAATGCGCTTTACCTCTAGTTTAACCGGGCTTAACAAGACCGTTTAAACCAATTTCCAGTGTTCTTCGGGGGAGAAGAAAGCTTTGGCTCTGAAGTTAACTTACATGTCGGACTTAGCCATTCATCTCCATCGGACAATTGCTGATCCCCACGTTAAACCGGCTCCAAAACCGGATGTTGCTATGGTATGTCCAGGTTTAACTTTTCCGCTTCTCACCGCCTCATCAAGAGCTAGAGGAATCGAAGCAGCACTCGTGTTACCGTAATTAGCCAAATTCGATATGACTCGCTCTGGTGGGAAATGCAGCCTTGTAGCCACAGAGTCTATTATTCTCTGGTTCGCCTGCAAATATATTTCAAAGACCACTTAACCATTTTCCAATACAAAAGTAAGAAACTTTTCAACTCGAATTTCAGGTCCATTATCAACGGGAACTGAATAAATGATAAGTATACTTATCGACATCTGTTTTTTTTACCATTTTTTACCAGGTTTTTGGTATGAAAACTCTAAAACTTCGCCATTTGCTCATATCCAATTCGATGGAAACTGAATACATGATAAGTACATACTAATCGACATTTATTTATGATACCATCTTTAACAAGGTTTCTGATACAAAAGCTCTAAACTTACCCCCATTTAAGCTTGAATTCATATCTACTATGGATGAAACTTGGATTAATGATAAGATTCTGATAAGAAGATTACCTGATGGAGGAGGAGCCAGTCGATGGCAGAAGCAGGAAGACCGGCTTTTTGCAAAGCAGACTCAATAGATTGAGGAACACATTTGACAGCAAAGCGAAATACCTCTTTTCCATTCATCTGAATACAAGAATATGAAGATTGTTTTGGTGGAAAGTCTCCAAACACCGAGCCATTGGAGCTCGATTCACCATCGTTTTGGGATTCTTTAACAGAAGCATTCAAATGTCTGCAAAAACAGAGAGTCTTACTGTGGGTTCTTGAGGGAAAAGAATGAGAAGAGGCCAGAAAAATGGAATGTGAATATAAATACCTTCGACCGTCCCCATCGCTATGCACATCAAAACTGAACAAACCATCATCTTCAATATCACAAGCCTGCACAAAATGAAAGGACATATCTTTAAAGAACAAAGCTTGATCTTTTAAGCAAAGGTTTGATATGCACTGAGGCAAGAACTCGTCTTATGAATGTGTTACTTGTGATAAATTACTAAAGGTTATACTCTGTATCAGTAATTCAATGAACATTTTATAAGAACGTTGGATATAATGACCGCTCCAGATTGTTCAAAGCTTTATAAAGCACGGTACCTGAACAACCACAGCACCAGCAGCGTCCCCAAATAAAATGCAAGTCCCTCTATCCGTCCAATCAACAAACCGAGACAACGAATCAGCTCCGATCACTAAAACATTCTTAAAACCGCCTCCTGAAAAAAACAGAAAGGGACAAGAATTATACACTTATCTTATTCATTAGTCATCGATTTTGCATCTTATTTGTTGACTTTTACCCCTTATATGACAAGCAGCTGAAACTAGACCCAAAACAAATCCACTACAAGCAGCTGTGATATCGTAAGCCAATGGGTTCTTTGTGCAACCAAGTGCCTTTTGAATCTGTCATCAATAGAGAAAATCGCGAATCAAACAACGGGAACTCTTTCTACATCAAAGAGAAATTTTAGAATAAAGGGTCAATAAAAATACCTGTGGAGCAGCACCGAATAGATCATCAGGAGTGGAAGTACACATCAAGACTAAGTCAATATCTTCAGGAACAACCTCAGCCATTTCAAGGGCTTTGGTTGCTGCTTCTACTGCTAACCCAACCAAGCTATCTTTGCCTTCAATATGTAGTTTTACAAATTAATGTCTCTACATGATACTCTTAACTTATCATAGCGGAAGGGATCAAATGTTATATGTTACCTGAGACAACTCGACGGTTGCGAATACCAGTACGAGTAGCTATCCATTCATCATTAGTATCGACTATTTTTGCAAGATCATCATTAGAAATCAGAAGACTTGGAACTGCTGAACCACATCCAATCAATTTGCAGCCACTCGGTACTAGCCTTTAAGTAGATAGAACCAAAAAGAATCATGAATCAGAGACCGTTTAAATGCATTCTTCAAAAGCAAACTTGTGATCATCTTAAAGCTAAGCAATTTAAGATCTTAAGCTAAGAGTTTTAGCCTAAGACATAACAGTAATTAATCTTCCTAATCTCAGAATCTTTATCTTAAGAGCAAAGAACGATCTCAAATCAATGGATTATTAAAGAGAACATAAAAATGTGATCTTTTTTATTCACCTGGGTCGTTGATATTCTGAAGGAGACGACGAAGCATGCTTATCAATAGAGCTGACGCTAGAGCACAAAACCCTTTTGGAGAATCGACTCGAAACGCAAAACCCAGATCCAGAAACTCTAATCGGAACATGGATTCTGCTTCGTAAGTTAGGAATTGAAGGATGAGTGAAGAACCCAGATGCATTCGCCATTGATTTGATAAGAGGAACAGAAGAAAAACAAAAGTTAAAATGTTTTGGATACAAAGAATCAAAGGATCTATATTGTCTCTCTCTCTAAGCTCGAAATTAGAGTAATTGCATCACCAAATGAATGAAAACTCGGTAGACAAAAATTCGAAATTTAGCTTTTTTTTTATTGCGTTGTTGTGTGTGTGAGAGAGAAGAAGAGTGACTAAAAAAAAATCAAATCTTCGGAAGTACCGAAGCGAAGAGGAGACAGGGGAGGTGAGTGTGACAGCTCAATTTTGAGGAGATTCCAATGCTACCGTTTGTTCACTGATTCCTGATTAGTGTTTTTTTTTTTTTACAAAATATTCAACAAAATTAATTAACTATAGATAAATATACTTGCATCCAATTTCATGTGGTAAATGGAAACATCAAAATCATATAATTGAGGATAGTTGGAATTTGATCTCTTCTTATTTAATTTATAGAGTTTTTTTTTTCTTGGGTAAATACCGGATTATCGAACTTTTAAGCGAGACAACCGTTTTTTGACCATTCGCAAGAGCTAGTGGCTCGTAAGCTTAGTATAGTTAACCCTTATGACGGTTTGTTAGAGCAAATATATGCATGATGAGTCAGGACTACGATGACATTCATCATGCATATTTGTTCTAATAATAATCGCACATTAACTTTCTAATTGGTGGTGGGAAACACTTTCGTGTTTTTTTGGCTAGAACATCTTCCGGGTGAAATAGACGCGAAACTAAGGGATCATGTAGAATTGATCCTTTAGTAAACACAATTTATCTAGTTTCACTATAGTTTTTTTATATAAAATCTTGTTTCAAATGGGAGAATTCTCATACGAATTACCATTTACCCATCCCTTAGCACCAACTAATCATTTTAATAGATTAAATTTTTAAAATTTCATGGGCTTTGATTTGTTTTTTAACAGGGTTTAGTAGCTTAATATAAATAATTGGGACAAAAACAACAGGTGGTTGAGTGTACCGGTCATATATTAGTAGAGGTTTGGTGAACAACTTGAAGAAGAATAAGAGATTTAACCAAATCCACTTTCAAATTTTTATTGAAGTGACTAAATTCAAAAGAACAGAATTTATTGCCTAAAAAAAGCAAACGTGAAGGAAGATGCAAATGTTACATATGTACTTGGTTGTGCACCGTTTTCTTAATAAACAGAACCTTCATAGTTTGGTGGATAAGACAGAGACGCAAAGAGGCTTTTGATGTTAGATTAGTAGTAAACGTTTATGGATAGGAACAGAGTAGCCACAAACCACATTCGAAACACAAATCTGTCTTAATTGCAATTATAAAGTATACAACAAAGTAAGAACTGCAAATTTGCAACTTTGTGAGCCAATGAACTCAAGCCGACTAGAATCAAACCTATTAAAGAAACTAAAAACACTAAAGCTTCCATTAAAAATACATTAGAGCATATGCTAAATTAAACCTTTACACATGAACGCAGGAAGCGGGTTCTAGTAGCTTCGTCCTAATTCCATTACACACCTTCAATCCATTCTTTCTCGCGGTATCTTATGACAAGTCCCTTTTCACCTTCCCAGCCACTTGTAGAATTGAGCGGAAGGCTTTTCAGCTTTGGACATCCGATTGCAACGATTGTCTTCAGGCAGGGAAAAGGCAGAGGAGTTCAATATATGTTTATCAACTCCGGTACACTAGACAAGCGTAAAAATTTCAGCTTTCGAAAAGGAACAATCCCTGATTCTTCACTTACACTAGCCTTCTCTTTGCTTATTATATCTTCTGGTTGGTCCGAAAATTCGATATCAATAGATGTAAGATTTGGAGCAAACACCAGCCATGTCAACTTCCGAAGGCATTTACAACCTTGTACCACATACACATCAGAAAGACTCAAGAAGCATGGATTTATGGGATTGCGCAACACATAGCTTGTGTTGCGCTTTGAATGCCCGTCATATAGATCTTAATCTCAGAGCTAGTGCAGCCAAGGAAGTCTAGAAACTGGAGGTTGTTCATAGTTGTGAAAAATGATGTTCCAGATTATTGTAGTTGAAGACCGATGATCTCTAAATCTCGTGTACAGCTCATAAGATTGTGAGAACTTAAAAACTGAACCAAACCTGAAATATCTTTCCAATACAAATAATTTCTAATTGTTTCAAGACTTGCAAGATCACCATTAGAAATCATAAGACTCGGAATTGCTGATCCACATCCCAATAAAGTTGCAGCCATTTATTAATAGAAAGTATGTTTCATGTGAAAGACATAAAAAAGAAAGACAAAAAGAACCAACAAAAAGCAATACAGAGTTTGAAAGATGAGGGAGATAAAGAGAGAGAGAGAGAATTCAGCGGAAAGAAGCAGAGGGATAGAAAGTTTCCCTTTGGAACAAATTAAACCAAAATGACAACATTATCAACTTCCAACTTGCTCCCTTAGTATATAACCTTGGGTACTGCATACTTCTTTTTTGGTTCAACTTGGTCTGGGTGGTTACTCCTATAATAAAAATTAACATACACAAAAAGAGACAAGAGGCATTAGAGATGGAAGCAGTTAGAATTCTTGAAAATGAAATAAGGGAAGAGGAGAAATGTTAAACCTTTTCTATGCATGAAGATAAGAAGCGGATTTTCGTAGCTTCGTCCTCCCATTCCACACCTTCAATCCATCTCTTCTGAGTGTATTTTATGACGAGTTCATTATCACCCTGCTTGCCACTTTCGGAATTGAGTGGAAGCTTTCTCAGATTTTGACATCCTTTTACTTCGACAGTCTGTAGACATGGAAAGGGTAGAGGACTCCAATAGATATTCTTCAGCTTCGGTAGATCATGTAAATAAAGTTCCTTCAGCTTTTGGAAAGGAACAATCCCTGAATTTTCACCTTCACAAGCTTTCTCTTTGTTTATTATATCTTCTAGGTCTTCTCCACCCACAACATAAAGTGTTCTAAGATTTGGAGCGAACATCAGAAACGTCAATTCCCTCAGGCTTTCACAATTTATTATAATCACTACGACGAGGCTCAAGAAACTGCATATCCTTCCCATCTTTATCTCAGAGATTCTGCAGCGTTCAATTCTGAATTCGCTAAGCTTGTCCATAGTTCCAGAAAGTGATATTCCAAATGATTCCAGATGTCTATTCTGTGATGATACATATTCTTTAGAGATCTCTAGAAATCGTGTACGACTCATCAACCTATGGGAGCTCAAAAATGGCTCCAGACCTGGATTGATAGTTGCGGTTAAAATTTCTAAATGTTTCAAACTTTCCAACTCCTTCACTGTATCGAGATCCCATGGAAATTTAGATCCAAGTAATTTCAAAACTTTCAAATTATACAGACTTGATATCCCAGCAATACTCTCAAGATTTGGTGTATACTCCAAATCCAAGTGAATTAGTTTTTTCAACTCTTGTAGACCCTTCATTGGCAAACGGCGTGTACATGTTGCCTTCAAGTTGAGATATTGCAAAGAAACTAGATTTGATATTCCATCCGGCAATTCAGAGAGATTGGCATTATGGGATAGATCCAAAACAGCTAGCTTTGGCATGTACTTGAAGAATTTACTCGAGATCATTTCTAATTCACTAGACAATATTCCATGTCCTCCCCTTCCCAGGAGCAAAGTTGTGAGTTCCATACATTCAAAACTGCCAATGAGATGATGAATCTTGTTCTCCATCAATGAAATCCTTCTCACAGCATTCCAATTCTTAACCTTTGGAATTTCACGTAAGCCAACACCTGCACGCACAATGAAGGCCTCTTTTTGTATTCCCAGTTCAGAAGCAATCCATAAGGCCATTTCACGAACAACGTCATGCATACGCACAACACCTCGTCCACCCATATCATCCCACTCCATCAACAATGATGCGCGGACAAGGCTACCAATAATCTCATAACCCTTGTCCTCTGCCCTTTCTATACCTTCACTTCCATCTATAATATCCTCACATATCAAGTACTCTATCAATTCTTCTTTCAGAATTACAGCATCTTCTGGATATAAAGCGCAATATAGCAAACACGATTTGACATGCTCCCCTTTAAGGCTGTCGTAGCTATATTTCAAAAGCGGAAGGATCTTATCTTCCATGCCAGAAAACTCTGCAGCGTATGAATTCAAAACATCTATAGCGTTACGCCATTCTTGTATTGTCTTCTTGCATGACATGGTCTCGCCTATGATGTTGAGCGCCAATGGTAGGCCACAACATTTTCTTGCAATTGTTCTTGCAAGGTCGGGGATTCCCGGATCACAATCAAGTGTTTTTTGTCCAACATTTTGTTGGAACAAATCAAATGCAACATTGTCCATCAAGCATTTGACTTCCATTGGGTCTTTAACCTTCATGGAAGCACATACTTCCTGAGAACGAGTCGTAAATGCCACTTTACATCCATTTTCTCTTGTTGGAAATGGCACTCCGATCTGAGCTAAATCCACCTTCTCCCAGATGTCATCTAGAAACAACACAAATTTCTTTTTCCTTAAGAAATTGTATATAACATCGACCTTTTGGCGTTTCTCTTTTTCTTTCCACTCCCCTTCATCGAGACCAACTTTCTGAGCGATTTCATCTAGAATCTTCTCTATTTGAAACTCTTTAGACACCACAACCCAAATCACGTAGTCAAATCCACACCTATCCTTACTGAACTTATTGTTAATTTGGGTGAGAAGAGTCGTCTTCCCTACACCGCCCATACCGTACATACCCATAATACCAACTCCATCTTCCATCAAGTGTTTCCAAGCCTTATCAAGCATTGTTTCTTGACCAATTATTGTCGGTTGAAGCTGTTGTTCCACCACCTCAGGTGTTGAAGCTTGACCAGAAATCTCTTCGAAAACTCTCATTTTGAGTTTCTCAACCTCCCCCAATGTCAAGAAAACATTTTTCCCATAACGATAGCTCGTCATTAAATTCTTAGAGCAAAACCGACAAAAGCACAGCCTTTGAAGTTCAGTATTTCTAGCATTAAGAAGATCATTGACTTCGCTTTCGATAGTCGCAACTCTATTAAGCCATACCTGGATTTCGTCAAGCCTTGGTCGACCTCTATCCTCCTCTCTTTTGACCCTTCTTAATAAATCCTCCCGCTTGGCGTTGAGCTCTCCCATGGTTTTCTCCAGGTCCACAAGATTCTTCTTGAGATTGTGAGTATAACTTACTCTCTTGTCTAGGCATTGAAAGACTTTATTCACACACGGATCAAAGGGTATAGAGAAAGACGGACCCATTTTACAGAAATTGAGAGATCTGAAATTCACTAATTTGAGCAAACGTACCACAGACGATGCAAAGAATAATTGAAGATAAAGACTTACTTTCGTTTTGGTCCACTAGAAATAATAAAATTCTTCTTTTATGATTCTCACATTCACACCCGATTTGGTAAAGCGTAGCGACTGTTGACCTCTGCTGGGCCAGACTAATTACAAAGTCTCCACTGGCTAGTGGCCGAATGACCTGACGTTAAATTAAGTCTCCATTAGTTTTGTTTTCAATTCCAAAGAAAAAGAGAAAAATCTTTTAGCACCTTGAATTGTCGTTTTGTTTTTTTTAAATCAAAACCGTGTTACCACGGAACACACACGTTGTAATGAAACAATATGAGAAATCATGTACACTGTGAGTTACCAATCTTCTCTCATTTTCCATTATGCCCTTCACTTTCTTTCGTGGGTACTTTATACATAATCGTCTTTCTCAAGTTGTTGTGGATTTTATGGAATTAGTTTCGACTTTCGAGGAAGTCTTTGTCTTCCATTAGCGACAAAGACTTCCACGGTTACGTTTACTGGTAACCCAAGATTCGAAGGTCAATTCCATATGATGAATCTACTTGATGTACACTTGGCGGCCGGTTTTTTTTTTTTTCCAGATTTAATACTTAACGATAATCAATCTTTCTAATCCAAGCCCCAATAACAAAAGAACTATCTCAAATCAATGGATTATTACTAGTGGCCTGTATTGGGCTAACCCTTGTGTGGTACGTTATACTTGCTCGGCAAGTCTTGTCTAGGGCTTTCAGCAGTTTACCTTTGTGTACGTTGTAAAGCCGTCTATCAATAACACACAGAGAACATACATTCTTTATATCGAGTCAAGTTTCACGTGGTACTTCTGTGACCTAAAATACGAGTCTATTGTTTTCTTGATTTCGAACTTCGAAAACCTTTCTTAAGTTTTGTTTTGTGATCTTCGCTGTAAGAGTCATAGTATGGCTGGCGACTATGATAACAGCACCGCGAGAAGCGGACCATTAATTGTAGATTCTGAAGATCTAATAGACCGTGGATCCGGGGCTTACATCTCTCGTTCGTTATCTTTCTCATGACTCTTCACAATATATGTCACAGGGAATACATACATTGTAGATTCTGGAGCTACATTGCCTGGTGTGCCCATTTTTTTCTTTTCTCTAATAAGAATGAAGTCTTTTTACATTGAATGGCAGTATTGGCATTAACATCTTCGGTTTTGTTTATGAGTACAAAGAGAAATCTTGATAAGCTTGAGAAATTAAGTGATGATCTTCCCATTCGTCTCTGTACGTCTCTGGATGGGCTTCCTTCCTCACAACATTCGCCAAACACATCTCTTTCCTCCATTCCTCTGTTTCTGAGCACCCGCATTGCGAAGCCAACCAATTATCATACTCAAACTGCCAACAACAAAAATGTCATGATGTGTTTCTGTTCAGCTTTGGTTTATTTTTTTATTTTTATGCGGAAACTTGGGATGTTTTAACCTGAGTATTGCCCATACGATGAGTATATCGCTTTGGAATCCCTTGGACTTCGAGTGTTGAGTAAAAGGTTTTGATTTCCATTATCATATCTTCCTTGGAAGGAAGTGGGATCCGACCCGACAAAACACCCGCGATCCACTTGCTTTGCAACTCAAACATAGGGAACGGTAACACCTGAATCCGATTTGTTATGGATTAAAACGTTGAGGGAAATGTAAAAAAGTTATAAGAGCAATTTAGAGTTATGTACCTGCCACGGTATCCCGATGAAGGAAAGCCAAGGTGCAAATGCTGGAGGGAAGACGTCTTTGTACAATGGCCCGACACGGTTATCATCTACACTGACAAGTCCATTCGTATCAAGAAACGGAAAGTGATACTTATACCTACGAAAAGTAATGAGCTTTGTTAAAGAACCACACCAAGAGAAAGAAAACAAAAATTAAATTAAAGAAAGACCACCAAAATTATTTTGTTTGGGGATCCGGTTGCATTTCTCGTTCTTATATTGAATCATACCCAGTGCAATGCATAATAATATCAACCGAAATCGTCTTCCCGTTCTGAAAAACCACAGAACCATCCTCATGGACACACTCAATCTGCATGAGATTCAAGAAACATAAAATTGTTTTTCCTCCTAATCATCAAATTACGTTAAGTATAACTTTTAGGAGCTAACGTTAACCCACCGATGAATGCTTCCATAGATTATTGTAACCGGTCTGTTTGATAAACGTATCAGCTGGATTTGACCTACAAGCCACATGAACCTCTTTGGCAAATGTAGCAATGTCCCTACTTATATCCTCAGCGCTTGAAGAGTTTCCAATAAGCACAACAACCTAATCGATACCAGAACAATCTTCAGATCAATAATGCATAACATGATTGCCAAGGAATTCAACATTATGATCAAAGAAAATAAGTACCTGATCTTTGAATGGTTCGGGAATACGGTAATTATGGCTATGCATCTCTTTCCCTGGCCAAGAACTTATACCTAAAAGTTTCAGAGAAAAAATCACAGTCACACTTCTCATTCAGTCTTAAGTTTCATGAAATTCCAATACTAAATTCCTCTTTTTTATTTCTTCAAAGATTTTTTTACTCAATCATTTTAACCAAAACATTAAATTTTATCATTTGAAATTATTAATCATCTAAAACGAAAATGTTGTTTTTTCATTGTTTAATATTACACAACTTTTTTTGTAAATAATATAATTTGACCATTCAAATTTAATTTAATGTATACGAATTTTCAATTTGAATTAAAAAATATCAACTAGAAAAACAAAAAAAATTCTCAATATCTAACAAAATTTCACAAAAATTTGAGGATTAATATAAAAAAAAAGAAGAATATGTTTAACATAAAATCTAAATATTTTCCTTTATTTAATACTTCGAAATAATAATTGAAATCAAGTTTACTTATATATTACCAGGAATTTCAGCGAGACGAGGTTCAACATAATGTCCATTACAAACAACAACAGCATCATATATCTCATCACGACGAACTCTCTTCTCCTTCTCCGTTGATTCAACTCTCCATTTCCCGATTTCTCCTTCCGCCGCCGGAGAAACCTTCACAACCTCCGTCTCAAACCTAACCATCTCCTCAATCCCAAACTCTCTTGCGAAATCTTGCAAATACGCCAAAACTTCACCGTGACTCGGAAACCTCCTCCGATCTCTAGATTCCGATACACCGGAACGAACCACGAACGGGTAGTCTCTGTATCCGGTACACTCTCGGGTACCGTTGATTCGGAGAGAGCTATAGACGCTTGAATGGACAACGGATCGGGTCGGGTCAACACTTAACGGATCCGATTCGACTTCATCGGTGTAGATCCAGGTTCCTCCAACTTGTTTTTGCTTCTCGAAAACGACCACCGAGTGACCTTCCCGTCGAAGCTCTCTTGCCGCGACGAGACCGGCAGGTCCAGCACCGATAACTGCCACGTGGTGTGATCTGATTGGTGATAATGCAGGTTCCATTTAAAAAAAAAATCTAGATCTGGTATAGTGTTCTGAAAATAATTAAGTTAGGTGTGTTAGAAACTTACACGGATCTGTTTATACAGACGTAGATTGCCACGTTGAATGGTTGGTTTGGTTTAGAGAGAAGTGAAGGTTGTTATTATCAAACTTGTGTCATTGTATCTCTTCTTCTCCACCGACACAGACACAGTGAAACAGCAATCAATATGAGCAATCATCAAACTGTGAGATTCCTTTTGCCCTTTCACTTTCTTGATGATAGTGATCTTTATGTGTATTATTTGATGTGTGTTATCTTGATCAAGCAGGTGTTGAGGCAATTGGAGCCATGGTGTGAGCTTAAAGACAAAGTGGTTCTTGTGACAGGAGCTTCCTCTGGTATAGGGAGAGAGATCTGTATTGATCTTGGCAAAGCTGGTTGTAAGATTATTGCAGCGGCTCGTCGTGTTGATCGTCTCGATTCTCTCTGTTTTGAAATCAACAGCTTTGGTTTAACTGGAATTCAAGCCGCAGCTCTTGAGTTAGATGTTTCATCAGACGCAGACACTATTCGAAAATTGGTTAAAGAAGCTTGGGAAATCTTTGGAAAGATAGATGTTTTGATTAACAATGCTGGAATCAGAGGCAATGTCAAGTCGAGTTTGGATTTGTCAGAAGAAGAATGGGATAAAGTCTTTAGAACCAACTTAACTGGATCTTGGTTAGTATCTAAATTTGTCGGTGTTTTGATGCGTGACGCTAAACGTGGTGGCTCGGTGATAAACATCTCGTCGATCTCTGGGCTTCACCGTGGTTTACGGCCAGGTTGTCTTGCGTATGCTTGTTCCAAAGGCGGTGTTGACACCATGACGAGGATGATGGCTATTGAGTTAGGTGTTTATAAGATCAGAGTGAACTCGATCGCACCGGGGCTTTTCAGGTCAGAGATCACACAAGGTCTTATGCAGAAAGAATGGCTCAAGAAAGTTACGGAACGAACTGTACCGTTAAAGATGCAACAGACTGTGGATCCAGGGCTTACATCTCTTGTGCGTTATCTCATTCATGATTCTTCTCAATATGTCACTGGGAATACTTACATTGTCGATTCTGGAGCTACATTGCCCGGTGTGCCCATCTTTTCTTCTCTCTGAAAATCATAATCAAAATCTTGTGTGTTTGTACACTGTGATAAGAATGAAGTCTATTCCAACAAATGGTAGTATTGACATTAACATGAAATTTACTTTGTTTTGTTTATGCGTACAAAGAGAAATCTTGATAAGCTTGAGAAACTAAGTGATGATCATCCCATTCGTCTCTATATGTTTCTGGATGGGTTCTCTTCCTCACACCAGTCGTCAAATACATCTCTTTCCTCCATTCCTCTGTTTCTGAGCATCCACATTGTGAAGCCAACCAATTATTGTACTCAAACTGCGAAACAACAAATCGTTGTTAATGTGTTTCTGTTTGGTTTCCGTTTAGATTTGGTTTCTGAGCGGAAACATAAGTTAAAGAGAATTCATACTTGAGAGATGCCCATTTGGTGAGTATATCGCTTTGCAATCCCTTGGGCTTCAAGTGTTGCGTATAAGGTTTTGATTTCCATTATCATATCTTCCTTTGAAGGCAGCGGTATCCGACCCGACAAAACACCCGCGATCCACTTGCTCTGCAACTCAAACATAGGAAAAGGTACAACCTGAAAATTGAATTTGTTACAGATTATTAAACATATTAAAAAGTTTAAGAAAAAATATGAAATTGCTTCAGAGCAATTTAGAGCTGTGTACCTTCCATGGTATCCCGATGAAGGAGAGCCACGGTGCAAAGGCTGGAGGGAAGACGTCTTTGTACAATGGCCCGACACGGTTATCATCTACAGTAACATTTCCATTGGTTTCAAGAAACGGGAAGTGATACTTATACCTATTGAAAGTAAAGAGTTTTGTTAAACAAGCACACTTTTAAAAACAAAACCCGAAAACTCAAACCGAAAGCGAATGAGAGAATGAATACTCAGTGCAATGCATAATAACATCAACCATAATCGTTTTCCCGTTCTGAAAAACCACAGAACCATCCTCATGAACACTCTCAATCTGCGTGACAATCAAGAAAATATAGAATTGGTTCTCCTCCTGATCAACGAATTACCGTCAGTACTAATTAGGAGCTAGCTAACTCACCATTGAATGCATCCATAGATTACTGTAACCGGGCCGCTTGATAAACGTATCAGCTTCATTTGACCTACAAGCCACATGAACCTCTTTGGCAACTCTAGCAATATCCCTACTTATATCATCAGCACTAGCAGAGTTCCCTATAAGCACAACAACCTAATAACCAATGCAACACAAAACTTCACATCAATTATACACAACATGATCTTTCAAATAACATCACACCAAAGAATCGAACATTATCATCTTTAAGAATGAGTACCTGATCTCTAAATGGTTCCGGAATACGATAATTATGACTATGCATCTCCTTCCCTGGCCAAGAACTTATCCCTAAAAGTTTCCAAGAACAAAATCACAATCACACTTCTCACTGTTCCTATGAAAACTTCAATGAATTTTTAGATGAATCAATGGAGATTACCAGGAATTTCAGCGAGACGAGGTTCAATATAATGTCCATTACAAACAACAACAGCATCATAAATCTCATCACGAAGAACTGTCTTCTCATTCTTCGTAGATTCAACTCTCCATTTCCCGATTCCTTCACTTTCCACCGCCGGAGCAACCTTCAAAACCGCCGTCTCAAACCGAACCATTTCCTCAATAGCAAACTCCTTAGCGAAATCTTGCAAATACGCCAAAACTTCACTATGACTCGGAAACCTCCTCGGATCTCTAGATTCCGATACACCGGAACGAACCACGAACGGGTAGTCTCTGTATCCCATACACTCACGAGGGAGATTAGTTCGGAGAGATCCATAGACGCTCGAATGAACAACGGATCGGGTCGGATCAACGCTTAATGGATCGGGTTCGATATGATCGGTGTAGATCCACGTTCCTCCGACTTGTTTTTGTCTCTCGAAGACGACCACCGAATGACCTTCCCGTCGAAGCTCTCGCGCCGCGACTAATCCGGCAGCTCCGGCGCCGATAACTGCCACGTGGTGTGATCTTATTGGTGATAAGGAAGGTGCCATTGGTTTTTTTTTACGAGATTCGTTAACGATGGTGAGAATATACTAACGGCCCTTTAAATAAAAATCTGGCCCAAAAACTCATGAACCACACAATTTGAAAAAAAAAAAAAAACAAATTCTAGAGAAATTATTTAAACGCTGCGTTTTATGGAATTTATCAAATAAGTAGTAACCACTTCAAAATTCAATCGTTAGTAAACCGGTTTGGTTATAAGTTCTAAACCAGAACCCCATTGATTTGCTTATCTCTCCGTGTAAGGGTTTTGCGATTTGCAGAGAGTGAGATTGAGAAATGGAGAAGATGAGGAGATCGATGTCGAGTGTATTTACATCGAAGACGATGAGATTTCTTCATCGTAATCTCCAGGGGAAAGGTAATCTTCGAATTGCTCCTTCTTTCATTAATCTTTGTTGGGGACGAGGTTTCGCTAGTGGCAGTGATGATTACAGAGAGATATTGAGAAATGGGCTACAGGATATAAAGTTAGATGATGCAATTGGTTTGTTCAGTGTTATGGTACAGTCTCGTCCACGCCCTTCAATCATTGAGTTCAGTAAATTGTTGAGTACCATTGCTAAGATGAAGAAGTTTGATGTTGTCATCTCTCTCGGCGAGCAGATGCAGAAGTTGGGGATTTCACATAATCTCTATACTTACAATATTTTGATCAACTGTTTTTGCCGCCGCTCTCAAATCTCTCTTGCTTTAGCTCTTCTTGGCAAGATGATGAAACTCGGCTATGAGCCCAATATTGTCACGCTTTCTTCGCTGCTCAATGGCTACTGTCACTGTAAGAGGATATCCGAGGCTGTAGCTTTGGTTGATCAAATGGTTGAAATGGGATATCAACCTAATACCGTCACATTCAACACTCTAATCCATGGGCTTTTCCTCAACAACAAAGCTTCAGAAGCAGTAGCTTTAGTTGACCGAATGGTTGTGAAAGGGTGCCAACCAGATCTGGTTACTTATGGTAGCGTAGTAAATGGATTATGTAAGAGAGGTGATACTGATTTGGCTTTAAATCTGCTCAATAAGATGGAGAAAGGGAAAATAGAGCCAAATGTTGTAATCTACAGCACAGTCATCGATGCTCTTTGCAAATACAAACATGTGGATGATGCCCTTAACCTATTCAACGAAATGGAGATCAAAGGAATTAGACCTGATGTTTTTACCTACAGCTCCCTCATAAGTTGCCTTTGTAATTACGGAAGATGGAGTGATGCCTCTCGCTTACTTAGTGATATGATTGAGAAGAAAATCAACCCCGATGTAGTCACTTTCAACGCATTGATCGATGCGTTTGTGAAGGAGGGGAAACTTGTAGAGGCTGAGAAATTGTTCGATGAGATGATCAGAAGGTCTATAGATCCTGATACTTTCACTTTCAATTCATTGATCAACGGGTTTTGCATGCACAATCGCCTAGATGAGGCCAAGGATATGTTTGATTTGATGGTTAGCAAACGTTGTTTCCCGGATGTAGTGACATATAATACACTTATAAATGGATTTTGTAAGTCTAAGAGAGTAGAGGATGGAATAGAACTTTTCCGCGAGATGTCTCAAAGAGGATTGATTGGCGACACCGTCACTTACAACACACTAATCCAAGGGTTTTTTCAAGCTGGCGACTGTGAGAATGCCCAAGAAGTTCTTAAACGTATGGGTTCTAGTGGTGTGCCTCCAAGTATTATGACGTACAACATTTTGTTAGCTGGATTTTGTAGTAATAGTAAGCTAGAGAAAGCATTAGTCATATTCGAGGATCTGCAAAAGAGTGAAATGGAACTTGATATATTCACATATAATATTATGATTGAAGGGATGTGCAAGGCTGGGAAGGTGGAAGATGGGTGGGATCTATTTTGTAGCCTCAGCCTTAAAGGAGTGAAGCCTAATGTTGTGACCTACAATACCATGATCTCAGGCTTGTGTAGTAAACGCCTACTACAGGAAGCGGAAGCCTTGTATAGAGAAATGAAAGAAGACGGGCCTCTTCCAGTTAGCGGTATATATAATACGCTTATCAGGGCACATCTTAGAGATGGTAACAAAGCAGCATCAGCTGAACTCATCAGAGAAATGAGGAGTTGCGGGTTTGCTGGAGATGCTTCAACCATTGGCCTGGTCACTAATATGTTACATGATGGGAGATTGGATAAAAGCTTCCTCGATATGCTTTCTTAAAACACTTGCATCATCCTCGAGAGAAAAAGCTGTGAGGTGAATTAACGTTTTTGCTTTTATTCTAATCACACTTTGTTGTAATGTCTGGTCACTATAAATAAAATATGACTAAGTCTATGTGTCCTTTTCTTGCTAGGTTACGGAGTAGAGTTGATGCAATCACTTGTTCTCTTGTTGAGACAAGAATAGTCTTCAAAGACAGAGAAGCTCGCTCTTATCATGAACATTTCAAACTTCAAATGATGTTTGTTATATGTAAGTCCCAATCTTTTTCGTTGTTATATATATCTTTATTTCTCCTTCATAATGCAAAAGTATTTTGTGATTGTGAATTGATATACTCTTATCTGGTTTTGGATTTGATAGTGTAGTGGAACAGAGTTAATAACTAATTTTGTTTAGCTAAACTTGTAAGGTAATAATTGAGTTAGCCATTTAGGTAACTAATATGTTGTTCTTTTAATTTTTTCTACTGCATATTAAGGAAGTTATATAATTTTATTGTGAAAACAAATTGGACAAAGCAAGATCTTTTGACTGCAGCAACAAGCTATGGCTCTTGTTTATTCTCTTTCTTTATTCAAGATTCGATTAAAGAACTTGGATAGTTAGAAGTGAATTTGGCGAAATCTTCATTTGCTTCTGCAATGAGGTGATCATCATCCCAATCGTCCTTATATGTACTGGATTGGGCTTGTATTCTCTTGAACACGTTGTAGAACATTTGCTCTCTCCATTTTTCGATCCGAGGATAGTCCAATTGATCAGCAAGCCAATTATCGTATACAAACTGTAACCAAAACAAAAATCATTCAAATTAATGTAAGTTTCTTTTAGATAACGTTTATCATACATTTTACGGAAAGAAATATGGTACGAACCTGAGAATCTAATTCTGCCATAAGATGTGTGTATCTTTTGGGAATAGATGAGGCTTCGAGCTTTGCATAAAACATCTCTGTATCTTCCATCATCTCTTCTTGTGACGGGAGTTTAACCCTACCCGCTAAAACCGCGGCTACCCACTTGCTTTGGAGTTCAAACATTGGAAAAGGAGTGACCTATAAACATCCAAAATATTAACCAATAAGTCTATTGACATAAAGAGTCTTCTACTTCATATTCTAATCACACTTGTAAAAATCATTAACCTGCCATGGTAATCCGATGAATGAAAGTCCCGGAGAAAGAGCTGGTGGGAAAACATGCTTATATAATGGTCCAACACGGTTATCTTCAACCGTCACTTCGCCTTTCGTGTCGAGAAATGGAAAGTAATATTTGTACCTAATCATATAAAAAGTCTCATTAAAATGTTTCAAATACACATTCATTATGTATTATGAGTTGAACTATCACCCGGTGCAATGCATAATGGTATCGGCGTAAACTGTCTTTCCATTCCGAAATACCACCGAACCATCTTCTCGGACAGTTTCAATCTGCAATGCATGTAGATAAGAAGTAATCTTCTAAATTTGATTTGATCAAATAAAAATGGTTGATGATGAATTTGATTCTTACTGTAGAGTGAAGCCATAAGTTGTCGTAACCGGGAAGTTTTTCGTATGTTTCCGGTGTAGTTGATCTTGAAGATATATGGACTTCTTTTGTAACATTTGCTATGTCTCTGCTTATATCGACTCCGCTCACTGAGCTTCCGATCACCACCACCACCTAATAGATTCAAGCTTCATTACATAAACACAATGAAGATCATAAAGATTCATATAATGATCATGAGATCTGATTTGTTTTTGTTTTTACCTGATCTCTAAATTGATCTGGAACTCGATAATTGTGGCTATGAATTTGTTTTCCTGTCCATGAATCTATGCCTGGAAAAACATTTGCCTTCTTTTTACATGATTTTGTTTTAAAATGACTTTTTTGAGTTTTGCATTACAAGTTTACAACGAAACAGAGTATGCCATGCAGAGAAATATCCATAGGTGCTGTTTCAAACAGAGAAAACAGAGTAAGTTTATCAATTAGGATAAAAATTCTCTGTTATTATTACAGAACAATAAAATCACATACTCTGTTTTTCAAGAGACTCTGTTTTTTTTTAAGAGATTATTACACTGAAAAAAAAAAAGAGGTTTGATTTAAAAAAAAAGAAAAGATATAAGCTGGTTAATTAGGAGAATAATACTCAGTTATTTATTTTTACATAGCAATAAAATTAATCTGGTTTACAATTTAATATTTTCTGGTTTATTAAGCAAATTTAAAGGAAAAAAATAAGTACAAAAAAAAAAAAAAAACAAGACCGATGGAAAATGAGTGGTTAATTATTACCAGGGATTAGAGCATGACGAGGCTCCGTATAATGACCGTTACAAACGACGACGGCGTCATAAATCTCGTCGGAGACATCACCGGAGTTTCTAGACTCGACTCTCCACTTTTTGGGATTCTTCGCCGCCGGCTCAGCCCTCACAACCTCCGTGTCGAACCGAATCATCTCTTCGATCTTGAACTCTCTCGCAAAGTCTTTCAGGTAAGCAAGAACCTCACTATGACCCGGATGTCGTCTCGGATCTCTAGACCTGTTCTCGGGTCGGGTCGAAAACGGGAAATCGGTGAAACCCATGCATTCTCGTGGGATGATGGTTCGGAGAGAACTGTAGAGGCTCGAATGGATTACGGGTCGGGTCGGGTCGATGCTAAGCGGGTCGGGTTCGACGTTAGGCGTGTAAGCCCACACGCCTCCGATTTGGTTCCCACGTTCGAAAATAACCACAGAGTGGCCACTGCGGCGGAGCTCTCGAGCTGCCACGAGTCCCGCTGCTCCGGCACCGATTACTGCTACGTGGCATGATGTGGTAGGAGGATTCACTGCTGGTACCATAATTAATTAGGATATGTAATGGGATTATATTTTGTGATTATAAAGTGTTTTCAAATCTTTTGGTCATATAGACTTTGTGCAGATGGTGACGTCGATATGTTAATTATATAAGGAGAAACACAAAGTACGTGTCGAGTCATTTTCACCTAACTGTGTAAGCATTTTCCTACTTATTTTCAAGGAAAATTTATCATATAATAAAAATTAAGAAGATGAACGAACCTCCAAATTCTGCGGTGTGGATTAAAAAGTTCAATTCAAATCACTCTCGGTTTTGAAATAAAAGTAAAACAGAACAAGTTTGAGCTTCTATTTGAAGATTCTAATTTCGTTGGGATCAGTAGTCACCAAAACCTTGATTAAACTATATGGGTAATTTGATATATATATTGACAGTTTTTTGAAAAAAGTATTTTGCGAACTACACTTTACTATCTGGTAACTTTGAATATGAAAGGATTTCAAATTAACTTGTACCTTAATAATTAAAAGATTTATGACGCAGCAAAAGTGAAAAATGAGTGTGACAGTCTCACATGACAAGAGTGATAAATGATTTGAGACGCAGTCGCCAATTATGAACAGAAAAAGAGAATCTTCATTGAAGTTAGCAACTTCACTTTGATCACTAAAACTCTGACGTCTCAATTTTATCATGGTTAAACTATTAAAATATACTCCCTATGTTTCACAAAGAGTGTCATTCTACCATTTTCACACAAATTAAGAAAAGTAAACAAATTTCTTTTCTATCTCTTATTAATATACTAGATAATACTCTCTCTAATTAATAAGCTGAAAAAGTAGGGATAAAAAAAGAGAATTAGTTTTAAAAACTGGAAAACATAAAACGACATTCTTTGTGAAACAAGATTAAAATTTTAAAGCGACACTCTTTGTGAAATAAAGGGAGTAGTAGTATTTGATATACTATTACTATATGACAAAATCATGTTTGCCCACAAAAAAAAAAAAAAAAAAATCAAAAGAGACAAATCCTGAAGTTACGTACACGATTTTGCTCTTTTTTTCCGGTGTTTCAAGTCTCGAAGTACTCTTATCTTCACTTTCGCCAATTGGGACCAATCACAATATGTTTGCTTCGTGAATTTCGAGATCACGAGCCTTTGGCAATGACTGAGAAACCCAAAATTCATCAATATTTTGTTTCAACGAGAGTATGTCATAAAAAAAGTAAGTCAAGACATATTCTCTCCATTTTATAATATAAAATATTTTAGATGAAAAAAATTATTTTACAATATAAAATATTTTTAAATTTTTATACAAATTATAAATTAATTTTATATTTTATTATTATTTATATTGTTCAATCTTTTTCATGATTAGTTGAATTTTTTAAAGCAGATTTTTTTAATCTACTTGGTTTTAGCTAAAACATCTTATATTTGGAAACAGAGGACGTACAATTTTGTAAAATGTAATTCAGAAATTATATTTAATTTTTCAATATCCGATTGATCATGTGTACTCTGTTTATTATTTAAATAGTTATATAACATTTAAATAAATTTTCTGTTGAAAACTTTAACACAAAAAAAAATCGGTCGAAAAACAAACAAAAAAAACCTCTTACATTTTAACTTATTTGTTTAAACAGAAATAAATAAATAAAACCAGTAAAATGTGAATTTTAGGTGGATCCTTATAGCGATTTAAAAGTAGTTAAACCTCAACTTTTGTATTTAGTTTTAAAATTTGTGGGATTGATTTAAAATTTTAAAATTGAAAGAAAACAGGAATTGTTTCATCTTTCAAAAACAGAAGTTTTTATAATTTTACACACAAACGTTAAATGCAAAATTTTCATTTCAAACAGTCGTGGCCTTTAATCTAGTTACAGTCTTAAAACAGTAACATGTTAACACTATACGTTACAGTCTTATCAGTATGATACCACTATACGTTATCCAATTATATATTTATATGGGAAAAATGTCGGAAAATGCGCGAACTTTCAAATTTGGGACAAAAAAAGCATGAACTTTCGAAATGTCATTTAAATCATAAAGTTTAGTTTGACTTTTGATTATATGGTTAAGTTTTCGTTGACCTGGCAATTTCGGACATGTCGTTAAATTTCCGTTAACGAGACGATGACGGGGTTAACTTTCCGTTAGAAATCTCCGTTGAATCGAAACGACGGAAAGTTCGATTCTTCACAGACGCAGTTAATTCATTTTATTTTCCAGTGAAATGACGTCGTTTTGTTGTTTTTAAACCGATGTCGTTTCGATTCAACGGAGATTTCTAACAGAAAGTTAACCCCGTCAACGTCTCGTTAAAGGAAATTTAACGACATGCCCGAAATGGCCAAGTCAACGAAAACTTAACCATCTTATAAAAAGTCAAACTAAACTTTATGATTTAAATGACATTTCAAAAGTTCATGATTTTTTTGTCCCAAATTTGAAAGTTCGCGCATTTTCCGACATTTTTCCCATATTTATATACCTTATATACGTTATCCAATTTTTGATGTATCTATACTCTACTTATGCAGAACCATGTAAGGAATGGTCAAATTCTTCTTGTAAGAAAAAGTCAATTGGATGACTCATTTGCTTCCAATGAAAGAATCTAAAAACCAAAAGGAGGGGACTATACATTCATTTAAAGACACTCTTTGTAGAACAAAAACCACAAACAATTGCACAATAAACAAAGGATTCATAAAAACTTCCCGGAATTAACTACATACTTTTATTTTTAACAAATTGGTCCTACAAACAAATGTTTTTAGGCACCATGAAGCTAATTCCAGAGATCAAACAACATGTAACCCTTGTCAAGAAGACCCACACACTCTTATAGACTATTTACTCCCACATTATTTTCATAATTCAATGACATTTGAATCCAAACAAGTAGACGCCATTACAATCATAGTGAGACATCATCTTCCGGATTCAAGAAAACGAGAAGGATGAAAGCTGATCAGATTTTGTCTAGCGAAATCTTCATATGCTTCTTCCATGAGATCATCGTCATCCCATTCATCACGGAAAGTTTCTGGTTGATTAGAAAGTCTCTGGTAACCGCGAGTTACTTCTTGATCTCTCCAATGTTCAACATGTGGGAATCCACATTGGTCTGCGATCCAATCGAGGTACTCACACTACAAAAAAACAAAAATTTATTGAAACTATGTTCTTTTCAAGTTGTTATATTACCCTTAACTATCATATTTGTAATTAAACAATGTCGTACCTGAGATTTACCCAACTTATGTGTATATCTTTTGGGAATACCTAATGCTTCTTGTGTTTCATACGACAACTTAAGATCATCCATCATTTCGTCTACCGAAGGAAGTGTAACTCGTCCAGACAAAACTGCAGAAACCCATTTGCTTTGGACTTCAAACATATAGAATTGTAGACCCTGGTTATAAAAATTCAAAGATCAAACCAAAAAATTTATGAGTTTTCTAAAAAATCAAGAAGAGTTGAATCACTCGAAATTTTGAAAAGATTTAATCGATTAAAACTAACTAACCATTGCTGGTAAACCGATGAAAGAAAGTCCGGGAGCAAGCGCCGGTGGAAAAATATGCTTGTAGAGAGGCTCAACGCGGTTGTCATCAACCCTCATATAATCATTGGTTTCAAGAAATGGAAAGTAATACTTGTACCTTCACACATTCAAACAAATAAAACAATTAGTAAACCGCACACTTTAGTATTTAGTATGTCAAATTCCGTTGTGTGGAAAGAAAGAAAAAAAAAAAAACTAAAAATGAGGAAAGTTAAGTACCCGGTACAATGGACAATGGTATCGGCATGTACCACCTTCCCATTTTTGAAAACAATGGTACCATCCTCGTGGGCGGTGTCTATCTGCAATACATGAAAAGAACAAAATGATTAATAGAGGCAACAATTTTATAACTGGTTTCGAATTAGAATCTCATGAACTTTTGTACTTGAACAAATTATCAAGTTTTAAACCAATTTATACGAAAAAGTCCTAATTACCTCAGAGTGCATCCATAGATTGTTATTAGGTACGGGACGCTTTTCAAATGTGTCGGATTTACTTGCTCTAGATGCGATATGAACTTCTTTTGCGACTTTAGAAATATCTCTACTGATATCGGCTCCACTCGCAAAATTCCCGATCACCACCACTACCTGCAAATTTATGTATGATTTAGTCAACGTTTGGTTTATTATTACTGTTAAAAATGTATCAAAGCAAATCAATCTATTTCATTTAATCCACCCCACATGGGTGAAACCAAAAATAACTTTTACACATGTTAAAGTACTATATGTGATTATTATTTAATAAAAAGTGTTTTGCGAATCTGCGATTATATTCTTTGTTTGTGGATACTACAACTCTCCAGAAGATCTGACTATACCGACATACATTAAATCATTTAAAACAAATTCGGAGTATTATTTTCTGCGGTCCACAATCAAATGGATTTATTCACTAAAAAGGTATTAAGAATAGAATAAAGTAAAAAGAACATAAACTAGAAAGCATAACAACTAACAAGAATTTCGTCACCATCAATAACTCCTCTTTCATTTTTATTTCATTTTTTTCTTTCATATATGTATTACGTTTCTTCTCTCAACACGTATCCCAACTTTAAAATATATTTTTATATACTTTAATTAACTTAAAAGTCTAAAATCAAGATTTTGCGTGTTGACAAATAAAAAAGTGAGTAAAGTTACGTGTTGTATCATTGTTTTGTTTTCTAGAAAAATTGAGACTTGGTCCGTACGTTAGGTTAATTCGAATAATTAAGTAAATAAGTTAATAATAAAGTCAATTTGTAGTAAAAAAAAAAAAAAGAGTGTCATAGATTTTGAAAATACCTCATCTTTGAATGGATCAGGAACTCGATAACTGTGGCTGTGTGTTTGCTTCCCCGGCCATGATTCAATTCCTATACAAAATATTCACAAAAATAAATTATTACGATTATTGTGAAATTTTTTAACAGATTTATCTTAAATTGTACTAATTGTTTTATCTTAAATTTTAAGTATATAAAATTTTGATTCTTACCAGGAATTTGAGCAATGTTTGGTTCTGCAAAATGTCCACAACACACCACAACGGCGTCATAGATCTCATCGTTGGAAAAACCGCCGGCGGTTTTAGACTGGACCCTCCATTTACCGTTAACCGGTTCAACCTTAACCACCTCGGTCTCGAACCGGATCATCTCTTCTATGTTAAACTCTGTAGCAAAGTCTTGAAGGTACGCAAGAACTTCCCTGTGACTCGGATACCTTCTAGAGTCTCTTGACGGATCATCGCCACGTGGTACGAACGGAAAATCCTTGTAACCCATACATTCTCTGGGAAGATTGGTTCGGAGAGACTCGTAGACGCTCGAGTGAACTATGGGTCGGGTCGGGTCAAGACCAAGCTCGTCGGACTCGGTTTCAGGTGTGTATACCCAAAGACCACCTACTTGTTTCTCCCGGTCAAGGACAACGACGGTATGACCTTCGCGACGGAGCTCTCTGGCCGCTACTAAACCGGCTGCTCCGGCTCCGATCACCGCCACGTGTTGAGAATTGATTGGACTAGGAGCTGGTGCCATTTCTCAAATTTTTCAATGCTATATGAATGTGTTTTCTTTTTGTTGGTAGAAATGTAAGAAGTAGAAGGATTGTTGTGTAAGACTCTACGGTCTCGATATGGTTTATATAGAAAAATTGAAACTATTATACTCCATTTTAATAATGAACGCGTTATATAATATTTTAGCCGATTGGCTGCATTAAGTGTATACTATTTATAAATATACGTTTATTTATCCGGTTTCTTAACACGTAAGACTAATCTTCACTGGTAGTTGACACAAAAATCTTTTTTTTTTTTCGAAACTTTTGGTTTGTTTACTTGTTACTTGTTACTTGTTAGAGCTTCCGTCTATATACTTTAGTGGAAAAAATATAATTTGTAAACGAAATTTGGTGGAAAAGAAACTATTGATGAAAAAAAGAAGAAAAAAACCATAGTTGACAAAAACACTAATGATTATCAAAAAAAGAAAATCATAGTTGACAAAAAAAAATTAATGATTACAGAAAAAGAGAGAAACATACAATAAATAAATGTAAATCAAAGGGAGGAGATGTAGTACAAAATGAATCCGGCAGTCAGAATAAACAAGTAAAATATGGGTTAATACATTAAAATTCATATAAACACTATACACTTAGCATTTTGGGCTTTTAATTAATACCAACGTCAATATTAGGATTGCATTAACGCAATAAATGCTATTAACATTAGAGTAGAACTTAACCCCATTATCCAAAAAGAGAAAGAAAAAAAACATTCTATCCAAATTAATTAGAACCATGCATCTAATTTATATAGAAACAAAGAAAAAGAAATTCCGAACCAGATTCACGAGAGACTTGAGGTTGAAGAAGAGAAGAGAATAGAACCAGATTCTTAACAGAAACTTTTGCCATTTTTTTTTTAAAAAGTTTTTTTTACAGGAAAGCCAAAAGTTTTATATATTGGCTATTTAATTTTTTGTTTTTAATCTGATTCACTTTTGATATTTTTGCTTACACACTATTTATGAAAGAAACTAACTCCTGATCTATCATCACTCGTTGTGACTTTGTTCCCAGATTCGAATTGTTGTTTTAAATGTGTATCATCAATTGTTGTATCCTGACATCAAAAAAGATTAATGGATCAAAAGTACAAAAATTCTTCATTAACCAAAAGATATACTATTTAATTTGATTGGTTAAATTGATCGAGGATAGTTGAAAGATACTTGAGTTATAAATTTGAGGTGAATCGGATTTAAAACCTCACACAAATATATTTTCCCGCTAAAAAATATTTATTACTATTTTTTTTTCAAAAATAAAAAGTAGATATTTATTATTCACGATGAATGAATTTAATTCTTTCAACTCTTAGAATAATGATGAACCATATAAAATGCTTTAGTTCGTGATCTGAATGAATATATGGACATAAGTACAGAAATTTTTAGTTATTAAAAAAACGATAATTAAAAGTTTTGTTTTCAATACATGAGATTACAACGAATACTCTAAATAAATTTTACTTAATAAATATGTATCATTAATTGATAATAAATGATGTTTTAGTATAGAAATAAATAAAAAGTAAATGATTTTTTAATTGACATGCAAAAATCTTAAACATCACATAAAAAATAGAGGAAGTCTGAGTTTATAATAATATAAATTATATTACAATTCTAAATGATTAATTTAATGCAATGTGAATCCAATAATAATATCTGGATTAGTGTTGGCACAAAAAGAGAAGTATATGTAATTTTTAGTAGAATTATATGTAATTTTTAGTTGAATTGACTGATTTTCCAATCATTATATATACTATCTATTTACTCTTTTTAGGGTGCTGTGCTGTAATGAAGTCAAAGATGCCCTTTTTGTTGTAGTATGTGTCTTAGTCGAACAATGGGTCTATGCTATAATATATTCCATCCGTTTCACAAAAATTGTCGTTTTAAGGTTTTAATTTTGGTTTACAAAGTATGTCGTTTTGTATTTTCAATGCAATTTTTAAGACCAATTCTTTTTTTTTTATATCTCGATTATTTCTGTTTATTAATTAGAATGAGGATATTATCTAGCGTATTAATAATGTATAAAATAAAATTTGTTTATTTTTCTTAATTTGTATGAAAATGATAGAATGATACTCTTTGTGAAACAGATGGAGTATTATTAACTGATCTTGGTTTTCTAAAAGATTTCCAAAAGAAAAGGAATTAAGTGCTTTATTAACTACTAGTGTTGTGCCCCGTGCTTCGCACGGTCAAAACGTTTACGTGAAATTTTTTTTTATCTTATTTAAAAATTAGTTTTTTATTTTTTATTTACTTTTGAGATAATTAAAAAAATATTTGATTATTTAGGATTTATTGTTATTTAAATTGATAGACCTAAATTCAAGGAATCGTGGGAGGTAGATAGAGCAGTTGATAAGTTTAAGTGATTTTTTTTCTTTATTTTTTAATTTTTTCGTCATAGAAAAGTAAAGTGAGTGAATTTGAAACTTAAAACACGTGTCAGATGGAGAGAGTGTCAGTTTTTTAAGAAGTGACTTGTGAATTATTATAATAGGATTAGTTTTTTATTTTTTATTTAATTTTAAGATAATTAAAAAAATATTTGATTATTTAGGATTTATTGTTATTTAAATTGATAGACCTAAATTCAAGGAATCGTGGGAGGTAGATAGAGCAGTTGATAAGTTTAAGTGATTTTTTTCTTTATTTTTTTATTTTTTTCGTCATAAATTGATTTAGAAAAGTAAAGTGAGTGAATTTGAGACTTAAAACACATGTCAGATGGAGAGAGTGTCAGTTTTTTAAGAAGTGACTTATGAATGATTATAATAGGATTATAAGAAATAAGTGGTTATTAACTATTGTAAAGTCATCTTTATGGAGTAACACTAAGAAATGAATGGAGCACGAAGGAAGATACCACACTTAAATGGCCATTCAAATATTCCAAAGTGGCTTGAAAGAATAAAGAATAAAAAGTTGAAATTATCAAGCACATGCGGAATAATTTTAAGGAAAAAACAATTCTTGGTTCGATCCATATTTGGAAAAACTTTATTGTTGTGTTCAAAATTTTAATTTAAATATTTCTATAGTTTATTAGTTTTGAACAAATGAAAACAATTCTAAAAATAATACGGATTAATAAAATACTAAAAATAATAGGTTAAAACTTGATAATTATTATACTGACATCACATTTGTTACAGGCTTAGAGCTACAATTAAATTTTCAATCTACTCGATTGATCTTGTTTGTTAATAATCACAAGTACTGCACTTGTTTTGTGATTTTGTCCGATCATAATCGTGTCTAAAGATTTTTCGCTTTTATATTTATGGTTCATACTAAATCAAAATAACTATACAAGAAAAGAATTTTTTTTTTTAAGTTATTGATCACAAAGTAAACGAAAATTTATTTTTCTGAAAGAAAAAGAAATCGTTGGAATTTGTTTAAGTACTTGTCTTCTGTATATAAACCTCATCTTTATTCTACGACCGATATGTTATTCGTGGAAATTGAATTACTTATCTGATGGACAATGCAGTACTTTTACATATTTGAAAGAAAATCTATGAATTATGCATATAATCACAAGATCTTTTTATATATTTTCTTTCACTCATACAAAATTGAAATTACTTTATACTAAATCATCCATATTGAAATTACTTTAGTTGCAAAGATAAATGCATTTTTCTCTGTATCTCTTAAAAAAATTATACTAAATTTATCTGCTTATATAATTAATCAGAATAATAATATTAAGGAAAGGGTATAACAAAAATTTATTAGAGAAAAACTGGGTAACTACTAAGTCACTAACCAGTGACTAGAAAGAGGGCCAAGTAAATCATGAAAAGTCTTGTTCTTTCTAGTCTTCTAGACCAAACAAAACAACCTGTTATTCTTTTTATTTGTTATTACGTTAAGTCGTTATGGTACGTACCTGTCACCACGAAACTCTTAAAAACATACTTAAAAACAAAGTTTAATAATACTATTGATCAACGTATAAGCCTTTGACACCTCGCCATCTCTCACGCCGACATGGAATGGATCAAACGCCAAGTGTTGTTAATTAGTAGGGTACACGTTGCCGACATGGAATGGATATTTTGCCCAAAAGATTAGGCGACAACGAGGGAATCTTCAAAATGTAAGTTTTTGTTGTTGTTTCAAACATAATAATATAAGAAAATACATTACGTTCTACGATTCACTAAAGAGTCTTTGCACCAATAACAAAATTTGAAAGAGTAGTTAAGAAAATGAACCAAGTAGCTCGTGTTTCATGTGTTATCATAAGGGAAATTTTCCTAGACTTTTTAATATTTCTATATATTTTTATTTCTAGACATAAACACAAATTTTGCGTTTTGCACTTTCTAATTCGATTATGAAGATTTTCTAGATTGACAAACATTTTGTATAATCGCATTAAAAAAACGTCATTCCGTCATTATTCAGTCACTAATCGGAACCTAAATTTTTAAGTAATTTCAAAAGAAAAAATTAGGTTTTAAAGTTAATTTATGTTCTTTACTTCTTAATCACTATAATTAGATTGCATGATGAAGTCTTTGGTTTAATATTGTAACGTACTTCGAAAAATTTCCTACAAAATGGACATATATGTTTTTTTAATTAAACCAAAGGATATCATTAATATTCGTACTGCATACACTGATACACATACTATTGTGCAATGTGCACATAATAGAAATGTTTTTTTTTTTTTGTGTGTGAGTGATGGAAGCCTAAACTTGTAACAAAAATTACTACAAAGATTTTATGATAAATCATAAATCACAAAGAAGAAATAAAATCACAAAAAAAGAAATGATAATGCAAACTTTATATGATTATTTTAAGTGTACTTTAGAAAAATTTAAATAAATTTATTCATTATTTAACTGTTATGGGAAGCATAGTTCGTTTTCTTTAACATGTTTTGCTTTTATATGAAAGTCTAATATATTGAATGGAGATTAATGTAGGCCTGGGAAATCGGTTTAATCGGTCCGGTTCGGTTTAGAATTTCGGTAGTTCGGGTTGTTCGGTTTGGAGAAAAGAATT